CCTCTCCCCTCCTTCTCCCCTCTATCTCAGTCCCCCCCCCCCTCCCTCTCCCCCTCTCTCTCTCTTCCCCTATTCTTTCATAAGTATTAAAAAGTTAAAGAAAATATCAAAGCACAGTTGTTGGCCTATTGCTGGGCACTAACAAAGAACAACAATGGCTTCAAAAGCTGTTTGTTTGCTGCTTTTTGTAAGCAGGTAATAGTCCAATAAATATTTATCGTGATCTTTCCCTAAAAAGGGGAAAAAATCATATAGAAGAGCAGAGATTCAAGAATGAACAAAACAATGTATCTGTTTCAATACTGAGAGTTTGGTTAATATGCAACTTATTTGGACTGTGTCTGTATGTCTGACAAAGTTCAATTTGACTCAATGCAGTGTATGTATGAAGTCTGATTCTGTAATATTGACACAGAAATGACATCAAATAAGAGATAGGAGGGGGGGGGGGGTGATGTCAATATTTGCAAAATATAGATCTTTCAACTTCCCAATGTTACTGTAGCAAGTTTCTACATGTATGCCTACATGCATGCACACATGTACACCTAGGTACTTCTCTAGCATGTAGATTTATATTTTGAAGAAAATCTGAATATTATTTTTGAACGACACGAATACCATTTCTTTCTTCTTTAACCCATAACAGGTGTATTTTATTGCGACAAACTATCTCAAGGTGCCTAAAAGAATGGCACCAATATCAGTAATATTCAAACAACAAATGCACCACAACATTAACCACTTTTTAAAGTCAAACTGCAACATAAAACCACAAAGAAGAAAGGGGAAACTGAAAATTTCCCACTATTGAATGAAGTATTGAAATAAAATCCTGAAAAATCCCCATTTCATTCCCAAATGGGTGATACGCTCTTCACCCTCATGTTTCATCTCTAGCGGTAAATTGTCTGACCTTTGACCCCTGACCTTAACAGTAGGTTAGAAGGTGAACTCCAAGGGGAAGCCAGAAAATTCTATGATTTATCAGCAGGGCTCCAATTTCTGCGTCTCGGTTGAATAGAATGTTTTGCAAAACAGTTCCTCCCAAGAATGAAAGCTTGGAATATCAAGATAAAATTTCTCACAAAATTTTGTGTAAAGTGAAACTGCTTTGAATGTCATCTGAAAAGAATTGTCTGTGCTCTAATTTCCAACTGTTTTGAAACAATTTCCTAAAATATCCATGACTATTTAATTTCTCTTTCATTCTGTATTTCAGATAAAATCTTAAATAGTGGTAAAATGGTAACTTACATGTATGTATTGTGCACAAGTGTCTCTTGTCGAGAGGGTAGAATCACACACAAAAATGGTATTTTAATTAAAAATTATATTCATTAGTATTTCAGCACAAAAAGTCTTTGTAAGTTTGACAGTATATTCTAGTATACCTGTGTTTAGTTTACATGTACATTGTAAGTTTGTTTAAATGACAGAAATTTAAATTACATTTTACATTTAAAGATAAACTTGATTTCTGGTCTTGCGATTGCATCGTGAATGGAACTGTAGGACAGTTGTATAAGGTTGATCATGTAGTACATAAGTATTTGTATATATGCTGTGCGGTTTTGAAATCATCACAATCATACGAAATAGGCCCAGTCTTGCTAAATGTCACATGGGCTGTACAAATAAATGTATAGATGGGACTACACAAACATATGGTATAAAAGTATGGTCCACAACTTTAGCTGTCACTTGTCATGTTTTGAATACAAGGGTATTTGAAGAGCCATCCTTTTCAGAGGATTTTTTTTCTTTCTATGATAATCTTCCAAACTTAACATAAAAGGAATGAAAAAGCTCACAAATAATTTATCCACCTTTCTCAAAACTTGACCTTATCTTAATTACAGAAATTATGTCTGTACACAAATACACATGTCACTGTTCTTTCTTCTCATGCTCCTTGTATTGGTGTGTATTCTTGGTCGTAATCAAATTCAAAGAGTAATTTCTTGAATGCACAGCAACGAAAGGTCAAGAGGCTTTTGAAGGATGCCATGCTCCTGTCGAGTACAGTCATGAATGGAGAGAAAGCAAACTAATCTAGCAGCTCATACCGTCGGTTCAGAACCAGAAGGGCGTTAACTCTCTGTAGGAAAGCATGTGAGTTACAGCCTTCCGGCTCCAACCAGACAATACCAATCAATCAAGCAATAACATATTTCAATGTATATTAAATAAATGTTATTGTCCTTAACCCATCGCAGTGTCTTCTTATAGTTGACATTTTTGCATAATCTTTTGATTCAGAATGCTATGAATTACACATCATACATGAGCAGAAAGAATATAAATTTACAGAATTCTATTTCCAATGGAGTACGTTGTCCCGTTCTCAATTATCAGCGATTTCATTGTAACTAATCAGAAAGTCTTTAAATTATTAACACGGTGTGAAATATAAACCACCAATTTTGTGTACAAAGTGATAATTTTAATTTCAATTAAATGATCTTTCATGTTGGTTCATTCAATAAACATTCTATTTTTTTGCAAACTATGTAGGAGTGGGAAAGAAGAATAATTTGTGCCAATTTGAGAAGAGAAACCTCAAGACCTTAAGAAAACTTTGAATGCTGTGGGTTAAACGTAACATTTCACAGGACAGCAGTCTGTGGTGTCTCTACCCAGGTGTACATAATGGGTACCTGGTGCATGTATGATGTAGATGAAATTCATTCCTTGCTTGAGCACTGTATTAAAAGCAGCTAAATTAAGCCGGAATCATATCGAAGCGTCAGAAACATCGCTGTGGGACAGTCACAAGAGGACAGTCCTCATCAGCTTGAGTTTGCCAAATAACCCGCTATTCGAACTATCCCGATCGCAAATTAGCCAGTTAAATTGCGTCTTCATCAACCCACAGTTGCAATTAGCGGGATATTTGGTCGAGAAAATATTGTGAGAAATCTTGGTCTTGTTTCCAAAATATCCCGCTATTTAGGAAATAGTGATCTAATTTGCGCCTGTCTAAGCTAGTTTGTGATGAGCGCATCGGTCTGGTGAAGACGCAATTTCGAGCTTCGGGATAATAACGAGCTGATGATGACAGGCCTCAGGGTACGAAGGCATGAAGCCAATATAATGATAATCATAAAGGCATTCATAATGTAATCGACAAGGATGATGATGAAAGATGGTCACGATGGATTATCTCAAGCAGGAGTAGGATAGAGTGGATAATATGAGGTGGATGACTGGATGGTTGCGATCACTACCAGTACCATGCAGTATACGTAATCGGGACTGAACTAAATTTGTAATAAATTGTACCTACAAATATACAAATTATAAATGTTTCAATGATAAAATCCTTAGTATAATGTGAATCTCAAATTGGCATTTTGGTCACTAAGTCATGGGCAACTCTTCTGTTTGTTGTGTACAAAAGTATCATTAATTTCAGTTTTCATCCTCAGTGCCTTCTCCCTTGGGGCACTACTAAAAATATATTATGGATATTGGATAACACATCATTATAGGTCCTCGAAAAGGAAAAGTCCATCCCAAATCATAGAATAGGAAAATATTTAGATTTTGATCATTTCGTCCCTGTTTTCACGAAGTGACGGTAGTGAGGAAAATCGTCACGCAAAGTGAATGCATTTTTTTTTCACTACCGTCACTTCATGAAAACAGCGATGATTTCGTGTGTTGAAACAAATAGGAAAGTCGTCCGCCACTTCATCAAATTGGCATTACCGTTTCAGCCACTTCGAATTGTTCAATTCATAAATACTTTCTAATTTTCGTTCAGACTACATTCAAACTTTCACTAATCTTCTCCTCTATGTTTTCTTTCTTTCAGAGAAATAGGCTATGTATTATTTTTCAGGCATAATTATCTCATTACAGAATACTAGACTGAGGTGCACTTCATAGGGTTGCGCTGTAGTACTGGTTATCAAATGTTCATGAACTTAACATTGATACTACATAAACACATCAAGGTGGCAAGATGACTGCGGCATGTTTCATGCTCCTTTCATGCTCATACTCTCCAGGTTTCTTCTCTTGTGTTTATGAAGTGTTTGCTTTTGTCTTGCCTAACCACAGGAAGTGATACCCTAGAGAGAGGTCATGTCTGGGTCAAGATGGACTTGTTTTTGTTTTGGAAGTCTGTCCATATGAACTGCATTGACCTTGTTCCTTCTTCTTGGTTTCCTTCTTCCTTATAATCCCGCCCCCTGTTCCCTCTGGCTCTGTCTGTCTGCCTTTCTCCCTCCCTTTCCCCCCCCCTCTCTCTCTCTCTCTCTCTCTCTGTCTACCCATTTTCACCCTGTTCCCCCCTCTCTCTCTCTCTCTCTCTCTGTCACCCATTTTCACTCTGTCTCTCTCCCCCTCCTCCTCCTACTCCCCCTCTCTCTCTCTCTCTCTCTCTCTCTTTCTTCATCCCCTTATTATCTATCTCTTCCTCATTTTCTCTCATTCTGCATTTTATTCTAATTTCTCTCAAATAAGATAATAGACGATCATGAACCAATAACATGAAGTTCCTTTACTCTAGCTGATACACTTGTAAAAAATTAGATTCAATTTGCATAACTCCTCAGATTTTACAAATAGGTGTGGGAATGGGAGTTAAGAAGTCCGGATCTATCGGGGGGGGGGGGGGAGGATATGGTCAAGAAAAGAATGACTTTGTGTGACCATATCTCAGCATTTTACCGTCCTGCTCTTGTTTGAAATCAAATTAACCAAGACATCCAGTGGTTGTAATAGCCATTTCCTTCCCACGTCAGAACCAATTAAGAAGTACATATACAGTCAAACCTGCCTTAGTGACCACCTGCCTACAAAGATCACATTTTTTGTTTCCATCGAAAATGTTTTCTCTTTGAAACAAGTTCTAAAGGAACCTGTGTACAAAGACCACCTGTCTACGCAGACCACGTTTTGTGTTTTCCTCGGGTGGTTGCTATAGACAGGTTTGATTGTATATAGAAAAATATTATGTTAACATGTTGGGAAAATAAAAAGAATCTTACCTGCTTCTTGGTAGGTACATAGCATGGTCTATAAACACAGACCCTGAGAGAAGTATGAACCAGCACGTGCTCAGGTCATCTCGACTGTAAATATGAAACAAACATTACAAAAGTCATATTAAACATACTGAAATTCAAAAACGTGAACAAACAAGAGTAATATTCAATCTGATCATCACAGCCTTGCTTCAAAATTATAACTCTGTGCATCATTATTAGTTATTTTGATGCAATGTATCATTCACGGCCATTCAAAATCATTTTGCGATCACTAGGGCACAAGTAGCCATTTAATGCTCATGACTTGTAACAACTACCATATAGAGAAAAACCTGGAAATAGGCTACGACCATGTGTGAATGTTCTTTAATCTGATTGGCTAAGATTAGAATAGACCTTTCCATCTCTAGCGCAAGCATGTTAGCTTTATCCAATAATTTGATTTTGATGTGAAATGCCCTCAAGGCCCTCTGCTTTTAAACTTGTAGAATAGCTATAGCTGTGTTGACACGTTACAGTCGTAGCTATAAACTTTAAGTTTGTAAATCCTCGAACCCGCCCCCAACTGCTGAAATTTATTGCGCTAAACCTCAAGATGTGTCATGGTTTGTAACTTTGAGTTAACTTAAAGTTTCATAACTATGAGTGCGTTCACACAGTCCGTAACTACAAGATGAATTAAATGTTTATAACCAAGACCTTAAATTTAAGTTAACAGACTGCCGTGTGAACCCTACTTATATCTTCATATCACACTGTGTACAGATTTGGAACAGTTGTTTTATGAGAGCAAGGTTAAACTGAATAAATTATTACAAATCAGATTGAAAAGTGATCTATATTACAATATTTAAAAAATCAGTGTGCAGCTATATCCTCACCCACATTAATATACATGCTTGTCTAATTTGTCTTATAAAGAATGAAAATAAATTTTCTTTCAAAACAATGCAAAGAAGTTATTCTATTAAAATGTTAGAATAATTTGATTAATTTCCCATCTACTTAGGCGGGTTGTGTCTACCGTTTGCTGAATGTGTGAACAATTTATATACTACTCCCATCACTATTCATCACATTGAGCTGTCTGCACTAAGTTTGCTTCTGTCATTTTGAAGAGAGATGCAAACTGGTTATTAATGAGTGACGTAATTTTCCCAATCAGACTTCAAGTTCCTTCAAGTTATGTTCACAACTCTTAGGTAAATTCCATCATTTCCTCATTTACTATCTTGGGACTAAATCGACAAACTCGTCGATCCATCTCCCTTGTTTCCCCAATTAAGACTAATTAGTGAATATCGGTGTGACTCATAAAGAATTTCTTTAAGGAACTAGTTTTGAGAACATCTCTTTTCTTTGGGATCATCGTACCCAGTGCCATGAGTTCCGAAACACCTCATGCATTAAATTTAAATTAGATTAATAAATCATTCTGAACTTGTAGAGGTATTACTCAGTGAAGCTGTCAATCAAGAAGAACGAGTCTGTCCACTAATCGTCATCTTAACGATAGAGAAAATCTTTAGACCCTACACAAAGTCAAAAGTCTTTGAGCTCTACTTGATGACTGTACAAATTATTTGAAACCGTTGCATCGAACATCACCATATTTAACAAATTTAAAGGTATAGACCAGTTCTGTTCATGCGATTGCATTGTGAAAGAACTGTTGTGGAATCGATCAGAAAAGGTTGATCATCTAGCATATAAGTATTGGTGTACTGCAAGGTTCTGGAATCATCAAAATTATAAGAAATTTGGCCCAGTCTTGGTAAAGTTACAACCACTGTACACAGAAAGATGTATATGGGACTATGCTATATCTATCCAGTCCGGATAGATATAATAATTTACCAAATATATCAACTAGTAGGCGGTTTTCCTTCAAAATTTGTATCATCTCGTATTAGTCAAAACATATTCTTTCACATGATTGGTAATTAGAGCTTTAATTTCATTTTTTAAGAGGGGGGCATTTCCAAAACTGGTCCTTACCTTTAACAAGGAATTTTCTTTCAAAAAACTGAAACGGTCGAATAAATGAACGAATCTTACCAATAGAGGATATCGTTGGCCTCATGCCGTTCGTATCTGACCGTCTTAGCGATCTCCCTGATGGCTGGCTCTCGTAATGACCGCAGCGCCTCCAGATCATGAAGATGGGCAAATATACACTGCAGATCCTGTATAACAAATCAGAGACAGAGAGAGAGAAAATGAAGAGCGATTGGTAATCTTGTAGGTATTCATTAGCGTCATAACATAATTAATCCCAAGTTCCAAGCTCAAAACAACAAGGAATATTTGTAATTGGTACGTAATTCAAAGTTCAAAACACCTACTAAACTGGGTGTGGTAACTAGACAAGGTATTACATAGTGCATCTAATTTTCAAGGGAAAAAAATCTTAAGAGAAGAGGCGTAAATATTCACTTCTGAATGACAAAACACCTATAAACTAAAACAACAACAACATCAATCCCATTCATACCTCTGTCGCCTACTAGCCTGCAGACACAGACTCTAATTTGATACTTTATCACAATTATAAAGCCTTGAGCAGAGCCTAGATCTGTAAGTTTCCGGCTGTGCCAGCCTAAGTACAGAGCATGTTGTAGTCTAATTTTGCAGACACTGTTACGCAAAGGGAATGACATGGGCTTGTCCCTGCAAACTAGCCACCTACTACCTGAGTCTGGTAACTAGACTATGCATTACATGGTGCATCTCATTCATAACTATGTCATCTACTACCGAGTCTGGTAACTAGACTAGGCATTACATGGTGCATCTCATTAATAACTATGTCCCTTACTACCTGAGTCTGGTAACTAGACTAGGCATTCCATGGTGCATCCCATTCATAACTATGTGATCTACTACCAAGTCTGGTAACTAGACTAGGCATTCCATGGTCCATCCCATTCATACCTATGTCATCTACTATCTGGAGATGAACTCTTGAGCACTACCACAACGCATCTCATTAGAGATCTCAGCCAGGCAGTTACAACATAATTTACAACCAATACAACTCTGAATGACTACCAACCAATACACTATAATGCATGCATGAAAACTGGAATATATCCTCAAGACAATAAGTAAAAGTGATTGGTACTTTTAATTTTTTTTAATACAATCAAATACAGCTTGAATAAAATGTCCAGTGAAATACTTGTTTCGCAAGCTGATATGAATTCTTATCAAACTGGAATAATAATAAGGGACAAGTGTCTCTACTACATTTCATTCATTTTTCCTTGTATCTATTCTGACTGTGCCTGTGTAGATTTACTTGTGTTACAATCCTTGTATACGGTAACCAGCATATGTTTGGCATATGTTCATGTGTGTACAGACCTATATGTTTTGATCCTCATACACAGCATGATTTTTTATGGTAGGTTGGTCATGGCCAAGGCCTGAAGGATTTGCACAAAATATGTCTTCCTTGGTGATGTTTCCCATCAAACAGCATGTTCAGACTAAATTAATTTTATACGAAACTCGTTTAGAGAAACGTTGTTTAAAGATTATTTTTATAGAGTAAGAACCATACAATTAGAAAACAAAAACATATGAAGAAACGTTGTTTACAGAAACTGATTTTGAAGAGGGCGATTGACATGACAGCTGGCCATTCACTAGTATGATAAGCCACATCCAGTTACAGGGTACATGATTTTTGTATGATATGACATTCAGACATTCTTCAACAAATCTTCGTTCAAAACGATGCTCAAACGTGCACTTTGTTATACAATATTTCTTTATATGACTAGAAAAATTGAATTGCATATATATATATATATATATATATATGTAATATATGAGATTCACATAGCATACAATATATACAATTAACTCTGGTAGTATGAATTCATGTCATGTTTTTCCATGTGTTTGCCTTGAAACACCAGAATGTGAGAAAAATCATCAATTTTTGCTTGCAGTGGAAATGCAGCCTCATGATGAACACAGTGACATTACATGAAGTAGACTGGATCGAAGCCTGCAAAGCCTTGGGACCATCATGCAAGATACTTTGTTGGTAATTATTTGTGAGCCTTAATGAGCAATCAACCAGCATACGCTACCCTCGGTAAGCATCTCATATTCCGAAATGGAGGACACTTGATACGTCAGAACGTTTGTTGTGGACGAGAAACGCTTGTTGTGGATGAGAAGCGCTATGTTTATGCTGGTATATATTTTTGGCCCCTCTATCTAAACCGGACAAACACAACAATCTGCGACAGAAGCCTACCTAATCGTTCTTGTCATATCTGCCCTTTCAATGATACTAATATATAGTAGTTCTGAGAGAGCAAGAATGTTTTGAAAATATTCATGGCTCTACTTGTCAAAATGTTCCCCGATACAAAACAGATTTAGGAAATGTTTGTAATAATAATAATAAAATTCCGCTTTTATATAGCGCCCAATACATCGATACAACGATGTGTCTCAGGGCTTTACAGATATATATTATTAGAATTGTAAGAATATGAAGCAAACCAATTTCACTTTTTGTAGCACTCATATTGCACATCATGTGTTGATAGCCCAAAACTCTGTGTTGTACAGTGTATGAGTAAAAGCCCTTCTTGCTCCAAACAGACAATATGGTACCTTTTAAGAATCCAATCCATTTAATCCAGAAAATAACATTAACTACTGACAGAAACTCACCTAAAATAGCTATTTCTCTATTCAACATCCAATAACTCAAGGAACACACACCTCCTGTCGATTCCGATAAATACCAATAGACACAAAACTTTCACAAGTCACTCAAATCTGAAAACATCATTTTAAATCTCAGCTCACTTCAACGTGCACACGCACCAGAGAACAAGTTACAAAGAGATTGGAAAATGGGGAGGATTTTCTTTTCAAATTGGAACAAAAGCGAAAAACCCGAGTATCTTGAGTATCAATTCTTGTAATTTCTCTTCTTTTTCTACTTTCTACAAGCATGAGTGCTATTGAGCTACTTTAGCTCACTAGAAAGAGGATTTGGCTTTAATTAGCATAAGAATGACACCTGCCTTCAACCTATTCAACTCCATCTTCCAAATTTTTTAAAGGAAAGTCTGGTCTACGTGGAAGACCTAACATGAGGAGCACATACATGTAGTGACTAGTAGGTTGGGACTAAGGCAATGCAAGAGCCAAGATAAGACAAGATAAGGCCATTTTACACAGAGCAAATAGGATTTCAAATCTTTTTTTTTTTTTAGAAACATGATCTGAATCTCACCTTTTTTTACATGATGGAACAAAAAAAAATCAAATATGTGAAATTCTGATAACAATTTTAAAATTCTAACCGCTATAACAGAGCACTTTCTGTGAATACCGGTATTTAAGATTATCTACCAATAATGCTCTCTATAACAATGCAGGTCAGATGAAGTGATACGTGTATATAGTTAGTAAAACTGAATTTGTAATCCTGTTGTTCCTACATGTACATAGCAAAAGGACGCAAAAATAAGATTTTATTCATGATTCAAACATCACTTTTTATGAATGTGTGAGTGGGTGTACCATGAAGTCTTTTTGTTTGTTTGTTTTTATTTCTGTATAAAAAAGACATCATGCGTTCAGTAAAAATAATAACAAATAGAATTATGAATAACAAGATAAAATAAGCGGCTGGATAGCCCATATTCAGCGGTATCGTTATGATGCCGCTGGTCTCCCATGGGGAGAGTTTAGAAAGAAAGTAGAGTAAACCTATAATAGTTGAGTTGAAAGAGAGGTTTATTAATGAAACATAGAAGAAGCTCTGCAGATTGATGCTGTTGTTTGATTGGGTTTTAAGGCAATTCAGTCAAAATTGACTATTTATGCCACTCATACTGGTAGTGGGAGAAGATGGAAGAGAGTGGTAGCTCAACATGAACAGTTCATAAAATTTGTTACTGGAGTAGCATGGAATAAAACAGAATCTGGAAACAAGAATTACTGTGAACCTAAAAAAAGGTTGGAGAAAAAAAAGATGGAGATTCTTTGACCATAACATGATCGATTTTAGCCTCATGAATATGTGAGGCTGGCCTCAAGGAGGTTCCAGTGCCTGCATCTCAGATCAGTTCTAAGCCTGCGTTCACATTACCAGAGTTAATCATATACATGAATACAAATAAGTAATTACATTTTTCCTAATCTGAACAGCATATAAATTAAAGAAATGTTGTATAACAAAGCGTCATGAATCGTGGAACGCAAGTTTACTTGTGCATCATTTCACACGAAGTTTGAATAAAAATTAGTGTCTCATTCTAGTCTGAGGGTCATATCTTAAAAAAATTGTACAAAAATTGTATAAAGGGGCCTGGCTTATAGCGAGCGAGAACTTAGGCTTGCCCAGCTGTCATGCCAATTGCCCTCTTCCTACTAGTTTCTTTATACAAAATTTCCTATGTTGCTTTATAGTCTATAGGCTCCTTTCGCTATACAACGATTCTTTATAAAAACGTTTCTCTGAACGATTTTTGTATAAAATTCATCAAGTCTGAACAGGCCATCAGTCAACTTTCTTTCTTGAAAGCACCCTCAATGGAGACAATCTTATTCAGTCAACATATAAAGCTGCTTAACTCACAAGAAAGAGACTCTATATGGAGGGATACATTTGCCAATAGCTATGCCAATAGCTATCTCAATAAGTATAAAAGAGTTCTTGTGTTTGTAAACTCTTCAAATAATACACAGCTTAAAATTCTAAGAGACTTTACGGTTGTTTCACAGTCCAAAGAGTTCCACTCTTATCTTGGTGGTTTAAACCATGGAATTTTAAACTTAAAAAGCCAATGCAAAGCTTCTTTTTTCGGAAAAACTAGTAAAGAAAAGAACTATCGCTTTGGAGAGAACGGACACATATTTGTGTTTTCATCCTAATTTGAAAAAGAACAGACTGCTGAGGCCGATACGTAAAAAAGATATTCATGAACAGATTAATATCATCAAAGATAAAGCCCTGGCACAATGTTTCTCATTAACATGTTGATACTGGATAACTGATGAAACATTTCATCTTGCACAACAACATTTTGTGTTCATTATTATCCTAATCTCCAAAGCACCAAATTAAGTTAGCACAAACATAATGCCACAAACTGAACATTTGGAAACAAATCTAATAAGCGCTGGCTGGGCGATCAGTCATGTT